CCACACAAACGACTCCACAACTCAAAGTTTTAATGTAACTCTGGCAATTGAGCACCAATTTGATGGATCAAAGGGGGAAAATGTGGTTTTCTAATTGGTCAAAATGGAATGCTACACTAGTTTTGAGTGCTAGTATGAAACTGGACGTGTTTTAAGAAAACTATAGGCAAAGCCCACTTGCCACCCGGTCAAGCCAAGGTCAAAACCATCAGCGGTTTTGTGCCAAACTTGTAAATCCCCTGAGGGCCACAACAGTAGCTGATAAGAGATCCTCAGAATCCTGGTTCGACCTGCCAGAAAACCTGAGTTCATGCTGTTATAAACCTGAGTTCATGCTAGTAAATGAGAATTCTCGGCATGTGCGCTGGGAAAACTTTTGCGAGTGTAAAGCGCACCCCAAATTTCCATTACAGTAGACCGGTATCGATCATACTTTTAGCCTCCGGGGCAATTGATAGGGAATAATTGTGTTGGCATTACTGTCTCAATTTTTTGGCTCTTCTTACACAGCTTGAAGAATTTTTCAGTTGACGTTAAAAGTTTTAACATTAATTTTAATTTAAATAGTTTAGGTCCAATGATGTGGTCCGGCAATTGAAACTCAGACAGCAGACACTTTTAATGATTGTTTCAGACATCCATAAAAGAATGAGTCCACCAAGAAAACGAAATTTGTGATACCCAAATATTTATTATTCCTTCAGCAAACACCAATTTAAGCAATAAAATGAATGTCAAAGTTGTTGCTACATTTAAGATTGGGGTAAAAAAGTTCTGGTGAACAAAACTGAATTGTGCATGAAAACATTTAAACCAGTTAAACAGTGTCTGCCTGGCTTTACATCACACCAACAGTGCCCTCACCTGTCTTGAAAAGCTTGGTCAAAAGTGCACTTTATCCCACTTAACTCCAGAAAGATTTCAAGCAGATTTCATACATTTCAGAAGAGTTTAATCATGCACAAAAAAGTCATTCAAGGAAAACTTCTGACAATGTACTGTGGTAGTAACAGCAAGAGGTGTTGTACTGGTGAAACCGTCATGGCAGTATGTGTCCAGCTCTGGCTGGATATTAAGCCGCAGTCAAAGTTTCCATTTGATCGGTGGCAGAGCTTAGTAGCCTATTTTGTCACTTTTTTCATATTAAAATACTGGTAGTTCTATGGTATTCAACTTGATACAACTGAGAAAATGGTCGTATGGTTGAGTCATTATTAGGTTTCCCTGAGAACCAGCATGTTCTTTTCAATAAAACCTGAAATTGTAGGGATCAAATGCAGTGATGTTATTTCTGACCACAAAACTACAATTGAAAATCCACCCTCTCGACTTCGAGTGGGACATATCATTGAAAGGCATGGGGCAAATGTACATGTATGTCACGTTCTCCTTGAGTGGGTCGCACATGTCCCAAGCATTTGGTATATCTGTAGAGATGATGAAGCCACTGATGAGTAGTTTATCTGTGCTTCTATTTGATGTTTTACAAGCATTCAGTTCATGACACAAGAATGTTTTAAAGCCTGCTGGAAATCCCTGAAACTGTGGCCTTTATTTAGTTATTGGCTTGTCAGTTGATAAGTGTGAATAATCTGACTTGATCAGGCTTTTATTCAGTGACTGTTGATTGCACCAGCTCCTGCTGAAGAGACCTTGGGAAAGCAATTAAGCATAATATCAGATCTTGATAAGACACTTGGGAAGTTTTACTACCTTTTCTCAACTACTGTGGAAGACTGGTCAGTATTTGACTCCTCTCAGCACAAAGTTAAGGTGATGAATATCCCCAGTGCCCATCAGAAACCCTTCTGTACTGAAGAGGATCCTACTGGTATACATGTACATGCATCATTGAGAGAAATCAGTTGAAAACGATTCTCTGAGGCTAAGTTTTCACTGCACAAACACCGATAAGCCTTACACCATCTTTGCTGTAGTGAAATGTTACACTCCCCAGCAGGCACATGTGCATTTGTTTGGACATAACCTCGCCAACATGCCAAGCGTACACTACTTTCCAAAATTTCAATTATCCTCAAATGCCAGCAACTGAGAAACCTTATAGATCTTGACAATTCAACTGTGTACCAGTAGCAAATTGGCAATTGCTAGCTTTTTTTTGGGGGGGGGAATTCTTTTAACTTCAAAAGCAATTAGCCATCTGAGAAGTTGAAAATGCCCGGTCTTCAAGTAAGCCAATCTCAGTTGAGGACACTAGCCTGATCTAGACAACACTGATTTCTTTGGATTTGACTCAACATTTATTTGGGGTTTCTGTATCAGGATAAGCGGAGCCCTTTGATCACGTCAAATCTTCTTGCCCCAGTGACTCCAAATAATTGAGATGGAATGCCTAATTCTTGACTTTATGACTGCTTCCCCTTTTGGGGATTGAAGCCTAATCAGTAGACTAAAACAGACATAATCAGAGTTACTCTCAGTCGAGCAGTCAGGATTCACATGTCACAGCATGTGTCGCCCACTACGCGCTGTCAGCCACTAGTATTGCAGCCATCTGACTTTCTTTGGGGTACACTTTGGGAAAGGTTTTTGATGTGGACCTGCTGAAAGAGTTTGTTGGTTTTTATTTTGACAACATGGAAAGGAAAACCCGGGTTTTGTGGTTAGTTTGACTTTCTTCTGGAGGCATTGCTAAGGAAGAGGATGCAGGATATGGCAAGAGTGGGGTTTAGACGGGTAAGATCTATGCGGTGTTGGCACAGAACTCGTCAAAGAAAGGTAAGTCAATCTATCCAAGATTGCCATCGACTACTACTGTGTACGTACTAGTAACTAGAAATTTAAAGTTCCACGCGAGTTTGCAACCCCGTGGGAAGTTGAGGTTTGGGTGCATCTTAGGTAAACCTCTTGTGACCGATTGCATAATCCCACTGCTGTGTTGAGTGAATGATCTTGAGTGTGTGTGAGGGCAGAGACCCTGGTTATAAATGTCTGAATTCAATCTTTCTTGGCTGAAATGACAGCATCTGGTAGTGTATGGTACTTCCCTAGGGGTCTGAGATGATCTGTTGACTGGATTAAGAAGTTGACGTGGTGATGTTTCGTGCCTTGGGTGCCTGTGTTCATAGTTTGTAGGTACATGTATGTCCAACTCACTATGGCTTGCTAAAAAAATAGTAAAAATGGTCTTCATGGGTTATTGGTACTGGAAGCTCTGGGCTGTATAAAAAGACCAAGAACCATTAGACTGACTAGTTCTGTGCACAGAGGAATTAGCTACATGTACAGTCTGTGATCAAGAATGAAGTCCCAAATCTGTTAATGCCCAATAACTCGCTCAGATGTACTGTATGTTCTGCGTGTCGGACATTGCTTTTTCGTGTAGTTAAGGAAATGCATTGAAAATACTCAGTCTTTCTGTTGCCGTGAACACTCTTTGAACTTGGATTTTTGTTGATGGGTTCCCTTGACTACCGGTATTTCTCTTCCTACGGTAACCCTAATCCCAAAACATGGTACCGGTAGATGTGCGTGTACCAGCACATACAACAGTTGTCCAGCGACGATATAACCTCATGTAGACCAGGCTATAGTCCCCTGTGATAAGGTTCCCATAACCTGCATCTAGTTGTCCTCTTTAGTACACAGGACTGCCCTACCTGTACTGGTATGCACTGGCAAGGGTGGCTTACATCATCATACAGATGCCATTTGTACTGGCACCAGTACCCCCCCTCCTACATCAAGTCTCTAATTTGTGGACCTTGACTGATTGCAGACTGAAACTAATGTACACAACCTGGTCACCATTGTTCGATTGTTCATGCATCCTTGGCTGGTGTTTGTGGTGGATAAATAGTCCACTGCTGAGAACCACATATATGTACGAGTGCCCTGTATACTGTCCCCACCGTATCTTTCCTCTTAGAGAGGACCAGGTGTACAACAGGTGCATGTACCTGTATGATCGTGCGAGTAATTCTGTTTTGCTTTGTTTTGGGGCATTGCCCCTCCTTTTATCTTTTATTATTTTTATTTAATTTGTCTTTGTTTCGATTCACGTTTTCTTTAGGAAATTGGAACATTTGAATCAAGATTTCAAAAAAAAAAGCTGGACATGATGCCACCATTTGTATTGGATGATTTGAATTCTTCCTTTACGTACGGTACCTCTGCTCCTCCCATGCCCAGCTTCCCCACTTGCTCAGTTCCCCATAACCAAACTCATGCCTGTTATCTAAAAAGTATTGTCCCTAAACCTGTTGGTTAGAACCTGCTCCTGCCAAAAAGCAAACAGTAGCAAACCTCAAGCACTCTCCAGTTCCTCATGGGTAACCAGATTAGGGAACACTGCAACCCCCAGGGTTCGGCCTGTGTCCCACTAGGGTGCCGACCCTTCACAAATGTTGACCGTGGTTGTAACAACCCAACAAAAAAATCCTTATTTATGTTTGATGCATAAAGAGGATCGGAAGCTACTGGTTCTTACCCCCTGGCTAGCAATATATCACTCATTAAAGCCAATATGTTGGAGTTTTCCTTGCCCAAATGTCAGTTATGTTTACTTAGACCAAAAAAATCACTTCAAATTGTTTTTAAGTCTTGCCATAAATTTAAAGTAGAAGTGCACAGGTTTCACCAATAATGCACAAAAATAGGACATAAAAGTGTGGACTTCTGAAAAACTTTCTTTAAAATCTTTCCTGATTAAGAGGAACTTTGTTCACAATCTTGTTCCATTATTATTGTTTTTACTCATAAAGCTCTACAGTTTTGTATTTCATGTTATTTCACTTTTTCTGGATGCAGAAAGATATTGTAAATGGTGAACAATACCAATTAAATTTCCTAAAGATTTCACCATGAAGTTTGGAAAATAACTGCAAAAATAATCTAAGGCCTCATAGACAAAATAATCTAAGGCCTCATCTGTACTTTTGTCCTGAACTTGGAAAGCTGATCAAGAGAGTGAGGTCCAGGGAAAAATTTATACTTGTACTACATGTACATTGTAATTCTTGATCTCTGTGTTACTGCAGTTGACTGGCCAGCCTGGCATGAAGATCAAAGACCTAGTCGCTGACATCACCATGGAGCATCAGATACCAAGACACAGGCTCCGGAGGGCGTCCACCTTGGGTATCATCCGTGACGATGCCAGGGTGTCCTCCCTGGCTAGACAGGAGATTATCATTGAATCACACTGCATGGAGGAAACAGAGGAAGGTTGGAAAAAATGAGGGAATTCGGCTCAATAAAAAGATACACTAGTTTCCTTTTGGGTTAAATTGTCATGTTTTTTTTACTTTCCATTTGTCTTACACAACATATGTATGTGGTGGAAGTTTCAAGCCTAAAATGGCTAAAAGTTCTTTAAGTTTGACACAAAGGTGTTACAGGAGTGTCTAGAAAATCAAATCAATCCAGCTCAGGAAAAAAATGATGTGGTAAAAACTACAAGTACATGTATATTAAAAAAGAACACCAGCTCCATTAAAAAGAAACAGAAGAGGAAACTATTGTTTTTACTCAGCCCTACATAAAATAGTGCAGATTGGGTGATACATGTAGTTAAGTAGTGGGAAGCTTTCTTTTATTTTTCAGACTTGGTTCAGTAACAAGATGTCCAGCTGGAAAGTCAGAAGATAATTTTTCCTTTCTGGTGGATCAATTAATCATAAATATCATTAATTTTTTTACACCAAGATGGTGGTTGTTTAATACTGTCACTTTGATTTGGTTCACATGTTTTGTGTATTAAATTTTGGGGACTGAGAGTCTTGATCTGAATTAGTTTGACTCAGTTTGACCTACATGTATCTGTCATATTGTGTTGGGTAATTTGTAGAGAATGTTTGCTTTTTTTGCTGCTAGATGCTGACAAGCGATTGGCTGTTTTGAATGAAATCATTTCTTCAGAGCGAGGCTACTGTAATTTACTGCAGTCCATCTTCACAACCTACAAGGAACCTTTGAGGTACATCCCTTCAACAGCAACATTGAATTTGGACAAAACCCAAAGCAATAAGGCTTGACACCAATTAAAATGACAACTACAGGTGTATAGAGTCCTTTCACTTCTGCAGAATTTTGTCAGTGCTATTTCAAATGCCAGGTTTCCCGCGCCTGGAAAAGTCATGAAAAAGTCATGGAAATTTATTTTGGTTTTCCAGGCCTGGAAAAGTCATGGAATTGTCTAAATATGACTAAAGTCATGGAAGAGTCATGGAATTTGTCATTTCTATAGTCAGAAATAAGTGCTTAAAATGCGTGATTGTATTCGCAAATTTCAAAGTGTGAATAGTCCAAGAAATTGCATTATTGGGTCATGGATTTTTCATACATTGGTCGTGGAAAAGTCATTGAATTTAATTGTCCTTTAGGTGCAGGAACCCTGAATGCCGTCATTCTGTTATCCGGTCACAGCCTGTGCTGAAAGGAAGCTGGATTGCATTGGCTTAGTCCAGATAAAGTGAATAGCGCCCTCTGTTGATCTTTTGAGCACCAGAACCTTTGAGGGATATTGAGCCATCAGTCTCTTCATGTACATGCAAAGGAATCTGTTGAGCACTTGAAGGTGTACACTGCAAATAAATTCCCATAGACAGCAATAATAAATCCCCACACTTCACAATTATTTTAAAAATACAACTCTCACAGGTGTTCAGGCTGCACAGAAAAATGATAATCGACATGTCCCCTTTTTCGGGGGTTGACCAATGAATTTTTGAGAAATTTTCACCAGAAGCAGACCACCCCTAAAATGAAGAAAATGTACCTACCCAGAAAAGTAGCCATTTTGATAAACCATCTCTCCACAAAACGGCTAAAAAGTACCACTTTCAGACCCGACTGCACCCAAATCAGTCAGCCTTGAAGCCCAAATATCCGGGCCAGAGATTCAGTGCCATATTTCTCCAATTCCTCAATTTCATGGCTCTCAGGACTCTCTGATATAGAGTATTGTTGCACACCCGCAAATCTTGGAATTCTAGCGCCCCCTAGTTTTACTCGTTCTTGGTCCTTGCATTTCTCAGGCTCTCTTATTTAGCTCAGCTATGCATTATGGACATGTAGCAGAGACGCTAATTTTGTATTAAGATATTCATGCTGTACTCTGGCATGATCGCGTGTTCCTTCACTCCTTTATCCTTGTGTTTTCTCTGCTCAGTTTTGGCATGTCGAAATTCCCCTCCACGTGGCTGCGTGGTTGGGCGTGGTAAGGTTCCCCGAAATGCTAATGTTCAGAAACTGCAGACTTTGTAACTGTCAATCATTCGCCACAGATGACCGCGTAAGCACTTTCATGCACCCGGCTCTACACTTTGTACACGAGACTTCTTATTCTGTATTTTACCTTTTTACACACGACACTTAGATTCTTGCACACGACTCTAGCAGGAAGTCATGTGACCCTTTGAGATTGAAGATTTTCATTGGTTGAGCTGTTCAGCGACGCTCATATTTTATTATCCCTAAGCCTCTAGAATCCTGTAAGTAGAGCAGATTTTCCCTAGCTCGTTGGTCAGGTGCGGCGGACCAAAGCCTAGTTGCAAGAGCGGAACCTAACGTAGTACGGCGGTTGGACCCTTTCCGAGAGAAGTGCGATAGTAACCATTCTTATGGCAAAGAAATGTAACCATATGAATGACCAGCTAGCTTAGCTTGGACCGATGCGAGAGCGGCACGAATTAGCCCAGGGTGCTAGTGAGAGTCGTAGCAGTCCGCCACCACTACGTCCGAACCGATTGCCGGGCGAGACACCCCCGGGTCCCTCACCACCCTTGTCCTGCTAACTAGCCCAGTCCTCCTTGTCTCTACACTGAGCCAATGGTACACAGTGCGGCGATCTTATCATTGCGCTCAACACATTGCAATCTGAACGGCAGTGTGGTTGGTACATACCAG